ATACTTTGATTTATGTTCTTATATTTTTATATTCTGTCACTGTGTCCACCTTTGTTACTTTTGGCTATTGTTTATTTTATGACAGAATATAAATTCATCTCTGTGCAAAAATTAAGAAGAAATGTTAATAAAAAAAAAGAAAAAAGAGCAAAGGCTGAGGGACAAACACTATGAGTCAAAAGTGTGGACACACCTTCTCATTTAATTACTGTTTACATTGTAGATTCTCAATGAAGTCATCAAAACTATGAATGAACACAAATGGAATCATGTGGTTAACAAAAAAGTGTGAAATAACTCAAAACGTGTTTTATAGTTTAGATTGTTCAAAACAACCACACTTTGCTTTCATTACTACTTTGCACACTCTTGGCATTCTCTTGATGAGCTTCATGAGGTCGTCACCTGAAATGGTTTTCCAACAGTCTTGAAAGAGTTCCCAGATATGCTGAGCACTTGTTGGTTCTTTTGCCTTCACTCTGCGGTCCATCTCATCCCAAACCATCTCGCCAGGCTATCAGGTGGAGCACTCCATCACTCTTCTTGGTCAAATAGATGTTACACAGCCTGGAGGTGTGTTTGGGGTCATTGACCTGTTGAAAAAAAAAGAAGATCCAACTAAATGCAAACCAAATGGGATGGCACGTTGCTGCAGGATGCTTTGGTAGCCATGCTAGTTCAATGTGCCTTCAATTTCGAATAAATCCCCAACAATATCACAGCAAAACATCCCCATACCATCAAACCTCCTCCTCTACACTTCATGGTGAGAACCATGCATGTAGAGACCATCCGTTTAACTTTTCTGTGTTGCACAAAGACACAGCAGATGAAACCAAAGATCTCAAATTTGGACTCTGACCAAAGCACAGATTTCCACTATGTTCATTCCTTGTGTTTCTTGGCTCAAACAAATCTCTTCTGCTTGTTGCTTTTCCTTAGTCGTGGTTTCTTAGCAGATATTTGACCATAAAAGCCTGATTCACACAGTGTCCTCTGAACAGTTGATGTAGAGATGTTTCTGCTACTGGAACTCTGTGTGACATTTATCTGGGCTCTAATCTGATGTGCTGTTCACTTGCAATTTCTGAGGCTGGTGATTTGGATGTCTGTATCTGCAACAAATGGGGACACTAAAGCGGCCGTGCCAGAATGTCGTGCTAAAAAGAAAGATTCTTTAAAATACAAGGGGGAGCAAGCGAGTCAGATACTACGGGCACAGAGATGAAGCAGGTCTGATCAGAAACAGTTTATTACTAGGCCAGGGAGCACAAATAAAAACACCCTTAAAATGTACGTAATTAAACGTTGTCAGTCTACTAAAACTAAATAAAACAATTCTAAAACCCGTAAAACTACCATTTTCTACATTCACTAAAACACCCCCTGCTATAATTATGCCACATGTTCATTATGGGTCCATCAGCAGGCCAGGAATTCCTTCTTTAGAGCAGAGCCCACGCCAGCCTCGTCTTCGGCAGACAAGGAAGAGCCTCCCATCTTCTTGTCCTTCCACTGGCCCATCACATCCCAGCCCAGCTTGCGTTCTGCACCCGAATCCATCATGTGATCACCGCCACAGCTCTCCTTGCGTCGGTGTCCTGTAAAATAACAAATAGGGGCCAGAACAATGGTCCCAGAAGCGGCCCTGGCTCATGGCCATGGCGACCCTTTCCCAACCCAGCTGCACCCAATAAACAACAGTAGAGACCCTACTCACAAATGCAGGCAGAGGTAAACCTCTGCCCTGCTGCCAATCACACGCGTTGTCTCCTACTGTTGCCGTTCCATGAGGTCAGGACTGGGTCGCCGTGTCCCGCTGGCCATCTACCATTAACCTTCCAGTCTGGGGCCTCTTTCCTTCAGTGCTCAGCTAGCCTGCTTTTAAAAGGTCTTTACACAGCTGATAGGCCACAAAATAAAAACATGCAAATAAAACGACACTCATAAATAAACACTAAAAATCATAATAAAAACAATATACAAGATAAATATAAATTTCCACTGTGTGACATATCCTCAGCAGCAGAGGTGACTTGGGGACACCTTCAAAGTTTTAGCAATTTTCCAGACTGTCTGACCTTCAGTTCTTAAAGTAATGATGGACTGCCGCTTCTCTTTACTTAGCTGATTGGTTCTTGCAATAATATGAATTTTAACAGTTGTCAGATAGAGCTGTCAGCTCTGTGCTAACCTGACTTCTGCACAACACAACTGATGGTCCCAACCTCATTAAGCATGCAAGAAATTCAACAAGTGATCCTGAAAAGGCACAGCTGGGAAGTGAAAACCATTTCAGGTGACTTCATCATGAAGCTCATTAAGGGAAGGCCAAGTGTTTGCAGTGCTGTCAACAAAGCAAAGGGTGGCTGCTTTCAGGAATCTAAAAAATAAGATATATTTAGAGTTATATTTTTTTTTCTTTGCTACATAATTCCATATGCCTTACTTACTGTATTTGATGTCTTCAGTATGTATCTACAGTGTAGAAAGGACCAAAAAATAAAGACAAACCACTAAATGACAAGGTGTGTCCAGACTTTTGAATAGTAGTGTATATCACAAGTTTTTTCTTTATTCCTTTGAAAGCCACAAAAAACAAGTTGAGTGTGTCATGCTGATGAGGTAGAGTATTAGATAACTTTATATTTCTGGAAACTAAGACATTATGAAGCTGTCATTGTTGAACAAGCAACAGTGCTACATGATGTCATACTGACTGTTCTTATCATGCCCAAAAAAGGAAGGCTTTGTTTTTGTAACAAATATAAACAACAGGACAGTTTAGGTGTTCCTTTTTTTTAAACAAAGACTTTGTTATGTGTGGTTGTAGATTTTCACTATAGAATGATCATGTCAGAAAATATTTAACTACAGCGAAATTTAAATGTAAATTTTTATGGGGAAATTTGTTCTGAGCCACAGTGTGCAGAATTTTAAAATGTCTGGCTTTGGTGCTCTCTAGTGGTAACAACATAAACTTATGGTTATAAAAATAGATACAAATGAACGCAATGTCACGAAATTAATATATTGTTTGTGCTTATTTAGTGTTTATTGTTACTTGTTTTTAATATAGTTTGCTTCCAGTCTAAAAAGGGCCAACTCTGAGTAGAATCTGAGCCAAAAGTACTGACAGGAAACTGCATGCTTTTGCAGAGAACAGGAAGCGCGCAGACAGAAAGTGAAACTAAGCAGAGTGTTTTGATCGAAATTGTGTGTGTGACGTATATCATATATATATATGTATGTATATATACGCATGTAGCTTGTAATACTCTCAGACCTGAGCTTGACTGAAGAAGTCACTTGGATGAGTGACGAAACGTTTCTCCCAGAAAACGCTACGTCCAGATGAACAGAATCAACTTTTGGAAACTGATATATTATACATGTATACTCATATACTATTTACAGTTTCCTATGTGTGATGATAATTAGAGGCCTATAACCACATTATCATCCTTTACAGTGGCTTTAAATAAAATTACTAATGTCCTTCTTAATTCTTTAATTCTCAGTGTTAAATGCTGCACTTTGTTTCAATATTGATCCCGTGGCTTGGAAGACCCTGAGTAACTCTGCTGCTGGTTTTGGCTACCAGGTGGTGCAAAGACAATCAGAGTAAGTCAGGACATGCATTGTTATGTTGATAGCCGGTTTACAGCTGCATGTTTAACATTACTGCTATTTATTTTTTATTTATTTACCATCTCTGTTATGCTATATGGACATATGGAGTTTATTTAATTAGAGTTTGCTTTCTAGACTTACATGATTGACTGGATTTATTTTGTTAGTTTGCTCGTCAGTGCTCCACTGGAACAGCATTCACAAAATGGAAAAGGGAATATATACAGTTGCACCACTTCTCCCCAAAACTGCCAAGATTTACAATTTCAAAGTAGGTAACCATTCATTTCTAAATGTGCTAAAACTCAGATAGTATTTTGCCATAAAAATAGATATCCATAGATCCTGTCGCATACATTTGTTTAAATCAAATCACAGTTACAGTAGATTTCCATATTAGATATCTT